TGGCTCAGCCTGTAATTCCAGCACTTTGGGAGGCCGAGGCAAGTGGATTGCCTGAGTCCACAGGTTCAAGACCAGCCCGGGCAACTTGGCGAGACCTTGACTCTACAATAAATCAAAAAATTAGCCAGGCATGGTAGTGCACGTCTGTAGTTTCAGCTACTTGGAAGGCTGAGGTGGAAGATCACTGAAGCCCAGCAGGTTGAGGCTGCGGTGGCCGGAAGCATGCCACTGCACTCCCGTCTGGGCGACAGAGTGAGACTCCAACTCAAAAGTCAAATAAAATAAAATAATAAAACATAAAATTCTGTCATTTACAACATGGATAAACTTAGAGGGCACTGTGTTATGTGAAATAAGCTGGAAGCAGATAGACAAATACCGTATGATCTCGTTTATAGGTGGAATCTAAAAAATTTGAACTCACAGAAGTAGAGAAGGGTATAGAGAGTAACTGTATTTGGAAGGTCATTAAAGAGGTAATTAAGTTAAAATGAGGCCGCTAGGCTGGGCCCTAATCCAACTGACTGGTGTCCTTATGAGAAGAGAAAATTGGGACATATAGAGAAAGACACATCAGTGATGTGAATGTGAGGAGAAAAGACCATGTGAAGATATATCACGAAGGTGACCTTCTATAGGACGAGGATAGGCCTCAGTGGAAGCCTCCAGAACTATGAGAAAATAAATTATGTTGTTTAAGCTACCTCACCCATAGTATTTTGTTAGGACAGCCCTGGCAAACATATACAGGAATGTTCATAGCAGCTTTATTCATGATAGCCCCAAACTGGAAATAATATAAAGTTTCCATCAACAGGAGAATGGATGAATAAATTACAGTACATTCAGATAATCTAATATGACACAACCATGTTAAATTACAAACTACTGCTACATACAACAATGTGGATATGAACATTCTTGTACCAGTCTTTTGGTGTACATATGAAATCAATTCTGTCTGTGTTCTGTACCCAGATGCAGTATGTATAATTTGTTTTTTGGATTGGAGTCTCACTCTGTCGGCCAGACTGGAGTGTAGTGGCACGCTCTCGGCCACTGCAGCCTTGACCTGCTAGGCTCCAGTGATCCTTCCGACTCAGTCTTCCAAGTAACGACAGGTGCGCGCTACCATACCCATTTATTTTTTATTTTTATTATAGAGACGAGGTCTCATCAAGTTGCCTGGGTGGGTCTCCAACCCGCAGGCTCAGGTAATCCACTCACCTCTGCCTCCCAAAGTGCTAGGATTACAGGCTGAGCCACCAAGCCCAGCCGAGTATGTATAATTTTAATAGATACTGCAAAATATCTATTTTTATAAGTGATTGTTCCATTCAATAGATATCTATATGTATCTTTATAGCTATAACATTATAGAAAGAATGTTGAGCAAAGGAGGCTAAACACAAGGGTACATACTGTATGATACCATCTATTTAAAGTTCAAAACTAGACCAAGCTAATCTATTATGATAGAGGTCAAAGTGATGGTTAACTTCGAGGTATATTCATTGAGAAGAAACATGAGGGAGCGTTCTGGAATGTTGAAAAATTTCTGTATCTATACCTAATGGTGATTGCATGGGCTTATAAAAAACATCATCAAGCTATGATTTTAAGATTTATGCTCTTTCTACATATGTCACACAAAAAAAAGTCTTACTAAAAACAAAAAAATATATATCACACACACTCAAAATAAGTGGCAGAACTGTGTTTTGAATTCACATTTTCTAACTACAAAACCAGTTCTCTTTCAATTCTGGTTTTTGTTTCTTTTCTCTTTCTATTTTTTCTTTCTTTTATTTATTTTTTATTTTTTGAGTCAGAGTCTCATTCTCACCCAGGCTGGAGTGTCGTGGCACGCTCACAGCTACCACAGCCTTGACCTGCTGGGCTCAAGTGATCCTTCCACCTCAGCCTTCCAAGTAGCTGGGACTACAGGCATGCACCACCATGCGAAGCTAATTTTTTTTTTTTACTGTAGAAATGAGGTCTTGCCAAGTTGCCCAGGCTAGTCTCAAACCCATGGGCTCAGGCAGTCCTTTTTGCCTCTACCTCCCAAAGTAATGGAATTAAAGGCATGAGACACCGTGCCCAGCATGGTTTTTGTTTTTGAAGCCCATATTTTATTACATTGAATGAAATCTGTGTATGAGTGATTCGTTTAAACAAACAAATCTTCCATTGGACTGGAAGATTTAAAAGACTGCTAATACTGTATATCAGTAAAATAGACATTCTCATAGTATGTTGAATATTGGTGCAAACTTAAGCAGGGCAATTGATAAAGATGTATAAGTAGGTTTTAACTATGAAAGCTGCCTTCTCAACAAAATATCTGAGACTATATCCAAAATATATAATTATACATGTACACAAAAAGGCAGATGCAGTAAAACACTGTATATAATGGGGGAAAGCTGGAAAGAACTTATGTACTCAAACAAAACAATATAACTGTTAAAAAATTATGACAGCTCATGATTTGATTACATGAAAAGTTGTTCACTATATTTTGTTAGATGAAGAAGGTAGATTTCAAAACAGTATTGTAGTATAATCCTGTTTTGAATGGAAAAAACCGTACATGCCTATATCCGTGTGCTAATTCACAGAGAAACAGGAGAAATAAAATGTTTAAGTAGGTTTACTTTAAGCTTTTTCTGTATTCTCTAAACTTCTGAAATAAGAATCTACTAATTTTACAGTAAGAAAACTCTGCTCTGCTTTGAGAGCAGAAAAAAATAAAAGAATATATGTGTATGATTCTTGGAGGGTAGTGTTGAAGTGATTTGAACTCTCGTTGAAGAGACGCAAACTTTCTTCACACACATTTCAAATACCACCTTAAAGGTCCTAAATCCAGAACCCTAAGATTTTGTGCACATTGGATTCCTCGTATCAGTTGCCCCTCACTTACCTGGGCGCAGATCTCTTGTTAACCAACCTGTCTACCAGCTATTGCTCCAACAAGGAAATCACATCCGGCTGGGAAATAAATTAATTAGTAATAAGCCCTACACATGGGCAAAGAAATAGAATTTAGGTCTGATATGGCTATGTAGAAGTTAAGACCATTTCCTTAATCATCAGGCAGAAAGGAAGTTGAGAAAGTATTCTGAAGGATCAGGATGATGACACGTAAGAAATAACACAAGAGGTGCCCATTTCTACCTTTAGGGATCTTAAACCCTAAATTAACTAGAAACCCTAAAGATTCCCTAATGAATCACAGTGAGGAAAGTAAGATGTTTTCAGAATGCAGAATTTGAATTGGAAAGGGGAAAAGAGATACTGTAAAAAGAAAGACCCCATTAGGCACTGTGGCTCAAGCCTGTAACCCCAGCACTTTGGGAGGCTGAGGTGAGGGGATTGCCTGAGGCCACGGGTTCAAAAACAGCTTGGGGAACTTGGCGAGACCTCATCTGTACAATAAATCAAAATATTAGCTGGGCGTGGTAGTGCGTGCCTGTAGTTCCAGCTACTTGGAAGGTTGAGGCGGAAGGATCACCTGAGCCCAGGCAGGTCGGCTCTGGGGTGGCCATGAGCATGCCACTGCACTCCAGCCTGGGGGACGAAGTAAGACTCCAACTCAAAAAAAGAAAAAGAAAGACCCAGTTGGTTTATTAGACAAATGTATATAGGTCCTATATCACAACCCTGAGCAAATTCCTCTGAGTAGAGTGAGTCATCTGTATTCTACCCAGCAGAACTCAATGCCACATTCCCGAGTCTACATAACCATGAAGTGACAGGAACCCATATGCCCCTTAGGTCCTGGAAGGGAACATAAAGTTGGTTAAGATATGGGAGCTAGACACCAAGGAGGAGTTGCAAAGGAAAATTACTTGTTAAATAAATTACCAAATACCCATATAATACTAAGACAGACAAATGTAAGGTTGTAGAAAATAGTTAAATAAATGGAATACTTTTGAGATATAGTATCAGTAGAGAAATCACTTTACAAAACAGGTTGAATAATACAGTTATGTCAATAGAGTGATTTTTAGAAGTCTGGAAAATTAAACACCTGTTTCAGTTCTCTATTGCTATGAAACCACTTCAAAAGCTTATGGCTTAAAACAAACAATCAGCTCATTATTTTGGTGCTTGGCAATTTGGGCTTGGCTTGTCTGAGTGGTTCTTCTGCTGACAGCAGTCAGCTGTTGGCTTGGTGGGGGCTGGATGGTCCAAGATGGTCTCCCTGAAATATCTGGCAATTGTCCCTGATTGTCTGCTGGACCTCTCTCCCCAAGTGATCTTTTATCTTCAAGCAAGCTGCTCTTAGCTTTTGATATATGGTGGTCTCAGGACGGGAAAATGGCAAGAGCAAAAGCTGCAAGACCTCCTGGAGTTTTATCTCAGAAGTCTCACAATGTCATTTCTACTACATTCTGTCAACACATATCACAAGGCCCTGCCTAATAGTAACCTAACCATTTGCCAGCATTTCAGGAGGAGAACAAACATTCCCTTTTCTGGAAAAAAAAAAAAACAACTGACCTTGACCTTGGTTTTCAGATATACTCAGTGATGTTTCCCTTTCTTCATGAGACAGGGAAGAAAGGTGTCTCCAAGAAAGGTCTTGGAGCTCATTCTGGGTAAATTGGAAGAAATTCTTCCCACCACAAAAGCTCTTATAATCTACCACACATACTCAGACGGAAGTAAAAGGGAAATTGGAGTACTGCTAGCCCTTCTTAGTATCCATGAGAAAGGCCAGGGTCACTGATTCAGGACTGGAAACTTTCTTTAAATTCACAGCAGTTTCCTGGGGAGACAATTTTGGGAATGATATGGTTCTGAAACATGGAACTCGACCTTAGAGAGTTCCCAAGCGAGATCCTCTGAGGAAGGAACCCTACTCTGAAGCTCCCCCCATGATATCTTCCTACGACTCTGCCTAAGGGACACTTCCAACTCTAAAAGCCTCATTCTTAAAACAGGTTTGTGTTGCAAATTTTATTCTACCACTCAAATATCTGACTCACCTTTTGATGACCGTTTCTTTGTAGCTGGGGTTCATATGGCTATGAAGAGAGAGAAAAAAAGGAAGCAGCTGAGAACTCAGGGATACAGAGCCCAAGAAACACTCGAAACTGGCGCCTAGGCGGGCACTCACTCCACAGATACCCCCTTGGGTTAAATACCAGGCTGAGCACTGGGGGCGGGGATGACCTGACAAGAGAACTCAGGCCATGCTTCACTTCACTGCAAGGGGCCCTGTTGACATAGGCATCGATCGTAGTCTTCACAGGTACAGGGAGATCGTCCACAGACACCTCCGTCCCAAAGTTAAGTCCAGAACTGCAGAAATGAAGCACTACCCCGTTACACAGTCAACAGCACAGAATTAAAAGCCTCTTCCATCGCACTAAATCACAGCAGCTCTGTCACATGGTAGACGGTCTCAAACGCAACAGGTCACACACCTCGCATCACAGCCGATCGCGGTCCCCCGAAAGATCCCGCATCTGGGCTGGCACACACGGGCACAATCACGCACCTGTTGCAGGCTCGTCGCCGCGCACCCATCCCGCCTCGTCGTGGCCGCGCACGCTCACGCACGTGCACGCGCATACACAGGTCTGAGCCACGGACTCCGCCCGCCGCGTCCGCAGCCCGGGATCTCGGGCTTCCTTACCGTGAGCGCCTCCCGCACCCAGACTCTGGTCACCACTCAGAGTCACGCAACTATGAGAACTTGAAAGGGCACCCGCGGATCACAAGAGGAAAGCGGCCCGAGGGACTGTGGGAAATGTAGTCCAACGCCGGAAACGCCCGGATGTGGAGAGGGCCCGAGAGCCGGCGGCCTCCGGGAACGCGCCGCGGAGACTCCTGGGAGGGACCGTCCGCGCGGGAGCACGCAGGCGCAGACGGCTGGCTGGTGACCCGAGGTGAGGCTGGGGGTCCTTGGGGCACGGAGGAAGGGGGTGGTGTGACCGGAGGGCAGGCGAGGAGGGAGGTGGGAACCTGGGCTGGGGAAAGCCGGGAGGGCAGAGAGAACTAGGGCCTGGAGGGCGGGGGAAGGGAAGTGGGCGTCCGGGGCGCCCAAAAGGCGGGTGGGAAGCAGGACCCGGGAGCGCGGGCCGCGGGGCGCCGAGAAGGGAACCGGGAGCCCGAGGCGAGTTGAGCTCGGCCAGGGTCGGGATTTTGTGTTTCCCCGGGTGAGAAAACCCAAGAGTGCGGCCTGGCACACAATAGGCGCTCAGTTTGTGTGGCTTTTTGTGCCTGACCCTCTGTGTTCGGGGACTTGTGTTATTCCGTGTGACGTTGTGGAACCGATTGTTTATAAAAGTGATGGGGTCTCTGCATATGTCCAAGTTTTAAATTTAGGTTTGAGTCGATTTGTGTTTCAGACTGGATGCGGCTTTGGAGAGGCGACAGTGAGGGGATTGTGAGTGAAAGGTTGCTTTTTGTGGAAGTGTGAGGTATGTGAAATTGTGCGTGACACGGGGGCGTATGAAATTAGGATGTGTCGTGTAAGTCTTTTGTGTGTACAGTCCATGATAGCTAGTAATGTGACTCATCGTGTGACTGAGATGGAGTGCTTGAGAAACTGGGTGCTGACCAGTTAAGCATGTATTGTTTAGATTCTCGGAATATTGGCCATTTTATATGCACGCACCTAGAATTTGACTCTGGCAATTAGACAAATAAAAGAAAAAAATTTTAGATAGAGAGGACGAGATATAATAATTTTCAGATTGGATACTGAGAAACCCCATGTTGACTAGTGACTAATATGTTGAGATGAATGGAGCACCGTTGGGACCATGTGCACAAAAACTTTTTCTCATAATTACCACTCACAAAATTTCTATTTGGGTGAAATTTTTTCTTTCTCTGGATGTATTCCAGGGAAGGTTCAATAATTTCTTAGGTCATTCTTAAGATAGTAAAAAAAAAAAAATCTGTTGAACCTTTAAACATAAGAGCAGTATCACCAGAGCCATTTAGCTGAATAAAATTTTCACTGTAGAAATCGAACTGCAGACTTTTTTTTTGAGTCGGAGTCTCACTCTGTCATCAAGTCTGGAGTGCAGTGACACATTCTGAGCCACTGTAACCTCAACCTGCAGGGCTCAGGCAATCCTTCCACCTCAGCCTTCCAAGTAACTGGAACTATAGGAGCACACCACCACACCCGGCTAATTTTTTGGATTTTATTCTAGAGAGGAGGTCTCGCCATGCTGCCCAGGCTGGTCTTGAACCTCTGAGCTCAGGCAATCCTCTCCCCTCAGCCTCCCAAAGTGTTGCGATTACAGGCGTGAACCAGTGAGCTCAGCTCAGAGTTATTTTAAAAGCAAAAATGTTCTCCCTTCTGCTGGAAGCCAGCAGTGTAAAAGGGTACGTGATTAATTTCTTCTCTAATTTCCCAACCTCTATTTTGTCTTCTCTTTACTCCCTGGAGGTGGGTAGTTTTCAGCTTATATGGATTGGGAACTGGGAAAGGAATGAGAAATCAGAAGTCAGGGATAAGAAGAGGCTAACATGACTGAGACCACTATAATTTAGTGTAAGTCATCTGTTGTCTTCTGAGACAGCCTGCTGCTTGGAATCTCCAGATGTACTACCTTTCTCATGGGTACAGCCTCTTTGCCACCTGCCTCCTCAGTGCAGCTTCTGAGCATGCAGTGGCCACCCACTCTGATGGGTTTGTCCAGTCAGAATAGGACCCAAGCCTCCCTCCATGGGGTCTTCACCTAGAGCTAAGGTGAGAATTAGCTATCTCAGACACTTTGCCCTCCAAAATCCTGGAAACGTGCATTTTTGCCAAGGATTCTCTTGCCCCTTTGGTTCCTAGTGGCATCCGAGTCTGAGGAGCCCCTTGTTTGTTATAAAGAGGGAAGTAGCACCCACTTTTCTTTCCCCTAAAAAAGCAATGTTCTAAAAATAATTCACTCTCTTAAAGAGACATTCTTCTCTCTCAGCCTCTCAAGCCTCTTCAAGAGTCAAATTAATGATAGAAAACTTTTACAGTCAGCAGAATGATTTCTAAGTTACTGTCCTATTAAAAATGAACAATGACATCAATTAGAAAACTCAGAGAGTTACTGGAAAAAATGGTAACAAATCAATAGGCTGCATGTGCTTGTGTATGTGTATGTATGTGTGGGTATCCGAAAACAGGCAAAAAATACTTCATTTACAATGGTCATCAGAAATAAGAGATATAAAAGAAGTACCTTTAATAATTGCATGCTGGCTGGTGTCAGTGGCACAGCCTATAATCCCACGCCTTGGGAGGCTGAGGTGAGTGAATTGCCCAAGCCCGTGGGTTCAAGACCCGCCTGGGCAACTTGGCGAGACCTCATCTCTACAATAAATCCAAAAGTTAGCCAGGCGTGGTAGCGCGCCTGTAGTTCCAGCTACTTGGAAGGCTGAGGCGAAAGGATCGCCGG